GGATCTAACATACAAGTTGAAGGCTTAGATGAAGACAATAATTTTGCTAATTCAGAAAGTTCAACTGGATCAAAGCAGTCTAAACCCGGTTCAGATTCCATGACTACCTCAGGTAATCGCGGATAGAGGAGTGCTTATGATCTTATTTTTAATAAGATCAATCTTATTTATAAAGAATCCCATAAAATCATTGCTGCTAAGAGCAGGTGGAATGGACGGTTCAACAGAGATATGGCTCTGGGTGAGTTTGGCAACTGTATTAAAAAGAAATCTAGGATTATTCTTATTCTCCTCTATTAATGAGGAGAAGTATGCTGCTCTTGCTTTACAAAGGGTCCTCTTATACAGCAGTAAACCATTTTTCCAGACTTGGAAGGACTCCCGCAGGCCTGTGGAGCGATATTTTCTCTCCAGTTTCCTAGCATTTTGCTTCAAAGTACGCAGCTCTGCATTAAACCAAGGAGCAAGCTTTCTATTTTTAACGGTTTTCATTTTCAAAGGAGCTGCGTTGTCTAAGGCAATACGCAGAGAACTAGCAACCCCCTCAACAAAATCATCAACCTGTGAAGGGGAATAAGCTATGCTTTTGCACTCTGCAGCACTGCTCAGCGACACAGAGGAGAGAGAAAGTGAAGCAGATTCTTTAAAATTTATGCCTGCACTATCTGATAAAGATCTACTAAAATTGAACCTTCTTTTGGGGGAGGAGAACTCTGTTAAAGTAATCCTGAAGGTTATTAGAAAGTGGTCAGAGAGGACAGGGTTGTGAGGAAATACTGTTATTTCTTCACATTCTATGCCGTATGTCAGCACAAGATCCAAAGTATGAAGATGAGAATGCGTGGGACCACTCACACTCTGAACAAAGCCAATAGTGTCTAAGATAGCATTAAAGGCTGCTCTTAAGCTATCGCCTTCAATGTCAGCATGGATGTTAAAATCTCCCACTATGATGACCCTGTCAGTATTTAATACCAAATCAGAAAGGAACTCTGAAAACTCATCTAAAAATTCAGAGTAGGGACCTGGTGGACGATACAAAGTTACAAAAAGAAGAGGTTTTCTTGCCTTGAAATGTGGATCAGGGAAATTAAGGGTTAAATGTTCAAAAGAGTTGTAGGTATTAAAGGAATAGTACACCCAAAACATGATTAGCCTTCATTTTCTACTCACCTCCATGCTGAACAACACCCTGGAGTACTTTTTTGATATCTCAAATGCATCTGGAGATCTGGGAGGCTTCTTGCTGTCTGCTGACATTCAAATAATGGAGGTCCATGGCGCCCGAGACAGAAAGGTCCATAAAAGTCCACAAAAACGTGTCAATATTCCTCCATACTGCTCGTCCAATGTAATCCAAGTGTCCTGAGTGGGTAGCATCCAGAATTTACTCGAAACGAAGTCATTTAGAATGTTTTTAGAGCATAAACAGTAGTGTATAGGATTTCCTAATAGCGCCCCCATGCGCGCTCACGATTCTACGGAAGCCGGCAGACCAAACCGGAAGAAAGTGCGCATTCAGCGTCTGGTCTGCCGATAATGCAAGCGTAGAAGAAGAAATGTGCTGTTTACCTGTGCAAAGAAAGAAACAACGAAAGAAAAATGTCTGAGGACTTCAGTGTTGAGGAAGAGCATGAGTTCTTTGCCGAGCTGAATGCGCTGGTTTGGTCTGCCGGCTTCCGTAGAATCGTGAGCGCGCATGGGGGCGCTATTAGGAAATCCTATACACTACTGTTTAGGCTCTAAAACGTTCTAAATGACTTCGTTTCGAGTAAATTCTGGATGCTACCCACTCAGGACACTTGGATTACATTGGACGAGCAGTATGGAGGAATATTGACAAGTTTTTGTGGACTTTTGTGGACCTTTCTGTCTCGGGCGCCATAGACCTCCATTATTTGAATGTCAGCAGACAGCAAGAAGCCTCCCAGATCTCCAGATGCATTTGAGATATCAAAAAAGTACTCCAGAGTTTTGTTCAGCATGGGGGTGAGTAGAAAATGAAGGCTAATCATGTTTTGGGTGTACTATTCCTTTAATTGTTTTGGGAGTAATCAGTAAGTCAGACTGGAAGATTGTTGCTACTCCTCCTCCTCGCCCAGAACTTCTGGGGATATGAAAATTTAAATAGCTTGAAGGAGTTGCCTCATTTATGCTCACATAATCCTCTTGCTGCAGCCAGGTTTCTGTAAGGCAAAACAAGTCAATGTGATTATCACAAATCAAGTCATTAACTAGCAGACTTTTATTTCTTTAAAACTTCCAGAAAACTGTAAAAGTGCGGAAAGTCTGCCTTCCTGTTCTAGTTAAACAGTTCAACTAAAACATCATTAGCTCAACTTTTTTATTTTCTTTAGTCCGACTGTTTTTAATGTTCTTTTTTTCTGCATTTTTTATTTTTTTTCCTACTTGCTTTGATTCTGTTTTATTTTCCTATATTTTAATCATGTAAAGCACTTTGCATTGTCTTTCTACTGAATTGTGCTATACAAATAAATTTGCCTTGCCTTGACGGAATTTGGCTAGAAAAATGTGATACGCTGCTCTATAACACCTGAATTAGAAAAGAAGTTACTCTACACTCCGCAACAATGTTGGAGGCAAAGGTGGACTGATGAATGCCAGTCACTCTCATCACTGTACAAAGATACAATCCTGCTGGGATCAAGTTGTTCAGGCTATAAAAGGAGGGTACAAGATACCCAAGGACCCACGTATTGTGTACTTCCGCTGGCTGGAGAGTGAGGAGATACACAGGAAAGACATCTATCTTACAACAACCCTACACACCTGACGCAATTGATATTAATATTAGGGAAAATCTTCACAATGGAGAAAATAACCTACCACCTAAGGATCAAGTCCAAATACCTGAAACAACATTGGATAAAGTTGCTTGATTACACAAATCGGAAGGAACTTACCCTCAATAAAACTGGGACACCAGACAAATCTAACTAAGTAGACCTGTGCAACCCCCACATCCAATGGCGTAACGACACAATAGGCCTGTAAGCGACATTATCTGGGTGGGCCACATATGAAGTACAACACCCCCCTTCAAAACCCCACCCTCCTGCCGCCGCTGCCTTAGACAACTGACCCCAAGTGTGCCCCATAGATACACACTACACACATCATTTCATCCTTCTTCACCTTCTCTAGACATGGATATACTTCAGTATATTCTGCTGTAAAATGAGCTTTATCAGACTAAATTGAGTTTCACAGCCCCGCTCCTCACCCGCGCCATATATATATGGTCCAGTCAGTCAATCTGATATCAGGTGGGATTAAGTGGAATTTTTCATTACATCTGCAAAGAGACGTCCTAGTCCACAATTGTGTAGGGGGCCTACCAGGTGTCAGTGATGGGGTCCCTAAGAGGTCGGGGGTCCCTAAGCATGTAATTGTCTCAAAACCTTTGACCCAATATTCAAAAACAGATCTGGAATGGCCCACTGAGTAGGATCAGCCTGCTCCCTTGGGTCAAGCATGCCATAAACTCTGCTCCCTCTAGGACCACTGGACTCTCTCCATTCAATGTCGTTTTTGGTTTTCAGCCACCGAGGTCCACCATACAGGAGAAGGAGTCTAAGGTTCCTTCCGCCAACCTTTCTGCCCTTAGGTGCCAGCGGAGGGTTCCGGCGCCGCCTTACAGGGTGGCTCAGAGAGTTTGGTTCTCAACTAAAGATCTGCCTCTTAGGGTTGACAGCAAGAAGCTGGATTCCTGCTTTTTTGGGTCGTTCCCTATTGTTAAGGTGGTGAACCCAGTGGCCGTCCGCCTCCACCTCCCTCGTACCTTAAGAATTCACCCCACCTTCCATGTGTCCCCGCCCGGTCAAACCTGTAAGGACCTCAGATTTAGTGCCCACCCCTGGGTCACCTCCACCCGCCCGGTTCATTGATGGAGACTCGGTCTACATGGTCCGCCGTCTTCTCAGGTCTAGGCGGAGAGGCCGGGGGCTCCAGTATTTAGTAGACTGGGAGGGGTACGAACCTGAGGAGAGGTCCTGGGTTCCGGCCTGGTTAATCCTGGATAAGGACCTCATTAGGGCTTTCCACAGGGCTCACCCAGATCAGCCCATTGGGGCGTCTGGAATCCACCCTTGAAGGGGTTCAATAAAGGCTTGTTTTGAACTAGATCCAGATCTGTCTGTTTTTGAATATCAACCTCTGTAAAAACTCGGGATCCACAGGACAGAAACAGGTAACAATCAGATAATCAGAACAACAAACAGACTGCTAGAGTTACTCACAAAAAACAGCTTGAATATTCTGGCACTGGTAGCTGGAAAACACACAGCATTTAAAGGAGGTGAAAACAGGTGAATCAGATAAGCAGTAATGAGAAACCGGGCAGAGTTAAACAGGTGAAATGAGCAATCAGGCACCAGTGCATATTCTGCTTACGGATAGTTACGCCCCTAAACATGGTCTCTGTTATACCTTTGTTGTATTTTTGTTGCCCTTATCTTTTTACTTTCTTTTTTGTGTGTTTTATGCAAACTTAAAAAAACTTTTTAGTGCAGTAAATCATCTTTTTTTAACTTTTTTCCTGCTTTACTTTGTTACTTTTACACTTTTACTTTTCGTTGATACTCTAACTTCTACAAATGAGTTTTTAAACAGTAGGATTTCTACTTATACTTGAGTAATAAACATTAATACTTTTGAAACCTATGTGGTTTCTTCATTTTTGGTTTTCAGTTTCTTTAGGGCTGGATTTAAAACCATGTCCATTTTTTTAAATATTATTTCAGATTGTATGAAACCCAGAAAATTTTGCTTAATTTGAAAAAATATTTGTTTCATCCTAACTTTATTCCCAGAATTTGTCTGAGCTACAGCCATCAAGCAAAAAATCAATACTAATGAACTTATGGTGGTAAATACAGCATTATCTCCCTGAATAAAGTTCCTCTCCAACAGTTTTTTTCCTGATAATGGTTGTTTGGAACAGAAGTCTCATTCTCTGAAAACACTCATTGCTTCCTCAGATGGGTCTTGCAGCAGAGTTGAACTGTCCTGGTGGCTGGAGCAGAAGCTAAAAGAGGAATGGATTCAGCATCAGCTCATCCTCCTCAAAGAGGACCAACAGAAACAGTACCATAGAATCCAGTTCACAGGTAGGTCCTGAATGTCCATCTGTGTCCCCTCTGAAGCTCCCGGTGCCTTCAGACTGCTCTCTGTTTGTTTTTTAGAGCTCACTGTGGATGAGCTGAACTCCTTCAGTAGCTGCAGTGGCCTGGATCTGATCTTTGGCATGAACGCTCTGCTCAGGAATACAGACAACAGCTGGAACAGCAGCAATGCGCGCTCTCTACTCCAGTACTGTGAGTCTAAACAGTACAAGATCTCGTGGGAGCTGGGGAACGGTAAGGCTCTCCTCTCAGAGTTACTGCCCAAACATTGTCCTCATGATGCTCTGAATGTCTGGTCTAGATCAGTCAGTGAAAGGTTACCCTTTCTAGACTAATGCAGATCTCTGAGATATGCTGTTTGGAAAAAAACGAAAAAAGAGCTTTAAAACCTAGCAGTCCATGATTTTTAGCTTTGTCGATCTGTTACACTGCAAAAACGATCTCAAAATGAGTACAAATATCTTAAATTAAGTGTATTTACCCTTAATTTGAGCAGGTAAATACAATGAGCTGCCAATGGAATGAATATTTCTACTCTTAAAATAAGGTATCTAGATATTATGCACTTGAAATAAGACAATTCAGTTGTTTTTTTCTTCTTTGAAGTGTAAATTGTCTTGTTCCATTGGCAAGTGTCTCACTTCAATCCTTAATTCAAGAAGAAATGCACTCATTTTAAGAAAAAAATACTTATTTAGATTTAATTTTTTGCAGTGTAGAAATTCAGTTAGGACTAATATTAGAATGTGACTGAGATGCAAGCACAGCGCTGACATTTCTTTAGTCCCAGGAGTGGGCGTTCAGGGCCTTCAGAGTCTTCACTGCTGGCCTAAAATCAACCACAAACAATAAACTACATTCAGGGGCAGATTTAGGAAATTTGGGGCGCTAGGCAAAGACAGACATCCATTATTTGTTCTAAGTTTTTCCTTCCTGTGTTTCCAAAAAGGCGACGGCAAAAGTAAATAACCCAGTCCTTCTTTTCACTGTAGACAAGGCAAGGCAAGGCAAGGCAAATTTATTTGTATAGCACAATTCAGTACAAAGACAATGCAAAGTGCTTTACATGATTAAAATACAGGAAGATAAAACAGAATCAAAGCAAGTAGGAAAAAATAAAAAACAAATAAAATAAAATAAAAAATGCAGAAACAAAAAAAGAATATTAAAAACAGTTGGATTAAAGAAAACATGTTTTTGTTGAATTGTTTAACTAGAACAGTCGAAGGCAATCCTAAACAAATGTGTTTTTAGTCTTGATTTAAAGGAACTCAGGCTTTCCGCACTTTTACAGTTTTCTGGAAGTTTGTTCCAGATAAGTGGAGCATAGGAACTAAATGCTGCTTCTCCATGTTTAGTTCTGGTTCTAGGTCTGCAGAGCAGGCTGGAGCCAGAAGACCTGAGTGGTCTGCAGGGTTGATACACTGATAGAAAGTCTGTGATGTATTTAGGTGCTAAGCCATTCAGAGATTTATAAACTAACAGAAGTATTTTAAAGTCTATTCTCTGAGATACAGGGAGCCAGTGTAAGGACTTTAGAACTGGGGTGATGTGCTCTACTTTTTTAGTCTTAGTGAGGACGCGGGCAGCAGCGTTCTGGATCAGCTGCAGCTGTCTGATCCACTTTTTAGGCAGACCTGTGAAAACACTGTTGCATTAATCAATTCGACTAAAAATAAATGCATGGATTAGTTTTACCAGATCATGCTGAGACATTAGTCCTTTAATCCTGGAAATGTTCTTCAGGTGATAGAAAGCCGACCTTGTAATTGTCTTTAAATGCTTTTGGAGGTTCAAGGCTGAATCCAGCACTACACCTAGATTTCGGGCCTGATCAGTGGTTACTAGCTGAAGCGACTGAAGCTGTGTGCTAACTTTAGATCTCTCCTCTATTGGTCCAAAGATTATTACTTCAGTTTTGTTTTTATTCAGTTGAAGAAAATTATGGCACATCCAGGCATTGATTTCTTCTAAGCATTTCCTCAGTGCTTGAATTGGTTCATAGTCACCTGGTGACATGGTGATGTAAAGCTGTGTGTCGTCTGCATAGTTATGGTAGCTGATGTTGTTTTTTATTAACTGAGCAAGAGGGAGCATGTAGATATTGAATAGGAGGGGACCCAGAATGGACCCTTGGGGAACCCCACATGTGATTTTTGTCATCTCTGATGTAAAGTTGCCTACTGACACAAAAAAGTCCCTGTCCTTTAAGTAGGATTTAAACCAGTTGAGAGCTGTACCAGAGAGGCCGACCCAGTTTTCAAGGCGCTCTAACAGGATGGAGTGATCGACAGTATCGAATGCTGCACTGAGGTCCAATAGTACCAGCACTGTGGTTCTTCCGCAGTCTGTATTTATACGGATGTCATTAAACACCTTGATAAGGGCGGTCTCTGTACTGTGGTGAGCACGGAAACCTGACTGGAACACGTCAAAGCGGCTGGTCATATCTAAGAAAGTGTTTACCGTAATTGTTGAAATACAGCTTTTTCAATAATCTTACTGATAAAGGGGAGGTTTGATATGGGCCTGTAGTTCTGCAGTAGTAGTTTGTCTAAACTGTTCTTTTTCAGCAGTGGTTTGATATTTGCTGTTTTTAGGGACTGCGGGAAAACACCTGACAGAAGGGACGTGTTTATTATCTGAGTCAAATCAGATGCTATGACAGGCAAAACTTTCTTAAAGAAAGCTGTGGGTAGAACATCAAGGCAGCAGGAGGAGGAACTTAGCTGCTGAATGATTTCCTCTAAGCTTTTATAGTTTATTTGGCTGAATTGGGACATTTGGCCAAGATCAATTCCAGTTGGAGACAACTTTGGTACTGAACTTGATATGGATGTATAAACTGATACTCTGATCTTTAGGATTTTCTAGGTAAAGAAATTAGCAAATTCATTGCAGGCCCTGGTGGAGTGGAGTTCAGGAGCCACAGACACAGGAGGATTTGTTAGCTTGTCGACTGTGGCAAATAAAGCACGAGTATTATTAATGTTCTTGTTAATGATTTCAGAGAAGAAAGATTCTCTTGCATTTTTCAGTTGTAAGCTATATCTGTAAAGTCTCTCTTTATAGATGTCATAGTGAACCTGGAGTTTCGTCTTTCTCCACCTGCGTTCAGCTTTACGACACTCCCTTTTTTCACTTCTTTTTATTTTTTATTATTTTTTTTTTTTTTTCTTTTTTTTTTTTTTTCACTTCTAACTGCTGGAGCACTTCTCCAAGGAGATTTTTTCTTACCGGAAAAGACTTTCACTTTAATTGGAGCAATGCAGCTAATGATGTCTGAGACTTTAGACTGAAAGTTATCTACTAGCTCTTCTACTGAGTTGCAGCCCAAGGTTGAAGTAGCAGAGTAAGCTTGAATAAAAGTTTCTGTGGCATTTTCCTTAAAGGTGCGTTTTCTTATGATGTCCCTTTGGCTAAATGAGTCACTGGAAATGATGCCCTCAAAGGTAACAGAAAAGTGATCGGATAGGGCAACATCAGTAACACTGACTTTAGAAATCTTCAGACCTTTAGTGATGATCAAGTCTAAAATATGTCCCTGTTTGTGTGTTGGTTGTTTAACATGTTGAGTTAAACCAAAGTTTCTAAGTGTGTCACACAGTTCTTTTGCACTTCTGTCTTCAGGGTTGTCAACGTGAAAGTTAAAGTCTCCCACAATAATTAAACAGTCATAATCAACGCATTTCACAGACAGGAGGTCACTAAAATCATTAAAAAAGTTTGACGTGGACTTAGGAGGCCTGTAAACATTTAGAAGCATAGTTCGTACCGGGCTCTTTACCTGCAGAGCCAAATGTTCAAAAGAGTCAAATTTTCCCAAAAACACCTTTTTACACTTCAGTGAGTCATTAAACAATGTTGCCACTCCTCCACGTTTCCTTTGCTGTCTGCTCTCGCAAAGAAAATTGTAGTTTGGAGGAGACGACTCCAACAGAATATGTGCTTCATTAAGTCCATGTAACCACGTTTCTGTTAAAAACATAACATCAACATTATTGTCAATAATAAAGTCATTAATTAAAAGGGATTTTCCTGACAGAGATCTAATGTTTAATAAAGCCAGTTTATATGACCTAGTGGTTGATGTTGTCTCTGTAGCAGGCTGCATCTGACAGTTTATGACTCTTAAGTGTCTGTTCCTGTTTGTTCCCATTTTGTTTTTCTTATTTTTGCCATGTTTCATCACAGATATTCCATAAGCTCCGGTGTAAGGCCCAAGCTGATGCTGGAAACTGTTATGTCTGATAAGCTTGTTGCCAGGGCCATGGTGTGTATCACAGAGAAGTTATCTGAAGGTCCTGACGTTCCGTGATATGTAGAGGAGGATCTGGGGCTCTGCTGCTTTTAGAAGATGCTGGTTTTTTCACATAGCTGCGGCTTTCGGAATGGCTATGTGGAGAGGATGTCAACTGTAGGCCAATCTTGAAAACTTTGTTCATGTTATGAGAAAATTACAGAAAAGGAACATCTGGGCTTTGTGGGGGAGAGGGGGAATTGGGTGCAGTCTGGACTGGTGTCTGTGGGGATGGAGGTTTTTGGTAATTTAAAGGGGAGTCCTCTTTTTGTCCTGCTGAGATCTGGGATGAATCCTCCTGTAGTTCTGATGTAGGCTCTTTCTGTGTCAACTTTTTGGCCATCTTTATCTTGGCTTGTTCGGGCTTTACTGGGCTTATCGTTTGTTTAGGCACTGGTTGTACTTTGTTTTGGAACAAACCTGATGGTGCATGGTTCACTGAATAGAAAATGTTTGATATCAGCCGTTTCGCTCCTGACCTATTTAAAGAGAAACCATCTCTGTTGAACAAATGTCTCCTCTCCCAAAAGATGTTAAAATTGTCTATGAACGTTACAGTTGTTTGTTTGCATGTTGCATCCAGCCATTTGTTTAACATCAGAACTCTGGAAAACATTTCATCTCCACAATTAATGGGCACGTGAGGGCCGCTGAGAAACACCTTGACATTAAGACCATCAACTAAATTCAGCAGACGAATGTAATCCTCTTTCAGTATTTCTGATTTTCTCAGGGCTGCGTCGCCCAAGGCTTCAGCTTGTATGATGAGTTTTTCCAAGGTCGGGCGTTTTTTCATGATCTCTGGAAGGATGTCTGATACATTAGACACCAGGCCATAGTTCAAAGGGGTATAAATCAACACCTCTGTGTTTTTCTTGTTACAGAAATGTTTAATCCCACGTATAGATCCACTGCATAATATCAGGGTCCTTGG